TTTGCGGTGGCTGAAAAGCTATTTGTTAAAATGAGAAAGCCTTCCCTTCTTCCAGCAGTCCCCTCCTCTGTCTTTAAAGGGGTAATCCATACAATGAGCTAAGGAGGGAGTCCTGTCTCCCCTCCTGCACCATGTGATGTCTCCCCTTTTAGTGTCAGGCTTGGAAGCTCTTATGCCGATTGCATGTGCTAGTCCTGTTAGCTTGCATTAAAGAGAGCCTGATAAATAGCTTCTGGGAGCCAGGCAGGTGCTCCTCAGTGTGCCGTTTATCATCCGCTGCATGGTTAGGTTTTTTGCTCTTTATCAGATCATTTGAGGAGAGGGGTCATATGAGAAATGTTACTAACAGGCAGGAATCATGGGCCTCAAGCAAAAAATGGCTGGGGTCTAGAAAGACTGGACTTCCCAACAGATGTATGACTGAGGCAACATGAGCTAGGGGTAGTGCTGAAAGGGGTGAAAAAATAGTGTTGTGCCAGTACTGCAAGAAATCCCAAGTAAAACCTCAGCACCTTTCCATTTCGTGGACAGCATGTGAAATCTCTGCTCAAAGCCACCATCATTAGACAGTCTTGTCTCCTGCATTGTGTGACTATCTGAAACTTCTGCCAATGATTCTGAAACTGGAGACTAAAAGAGGGTGACGCTGAGGAGAGTCCCAGTGTCTCACAGGGAATGGGAAGGGAGAATGCACTTAGAAGTGCCTCTTCTCAACCCATCAGAAGCCTTGGGAAGCAGCTTTTCTTCACTGTCTTCTACTAGGAGTTAGGCTGCAAGGGTGGCTTAGGGAGAGAAGGTGCCAAGACTCAGTAGATGAGAGAGGGAAAGGATGAACCAGACTGAGGGTGAAGAATGACATGTGAAACAAGACTGAATAAGCTCCTCTTGGTGGGGGGGTGACCCTGAAGAAGTACTAGCCCCAGTAGTAAGAGCTGGGTTGGTTGTTCCTCTCCTCTTTCCCAGGACATAAATGTCATGATCTAAGAACACAGTCAGGCTCAACTGGGTCCTCGTGATGGCCTGTGTAAAAGAAAAATGAATCCTGGGGATAAATGAAAAGGTATGGTAAAAACTGAGAACTATAGGCGAAAATAGACCTTTGGGGTAACTTAAATTTACTGTCCCTGGTGGAACAACTCCCTGATTCTTCAGTAACGGAGACCTGGCTGCAAGGCCTGAGCGTGACCAATGCTGAACCAAGGTGTGATCCTAGGAAGAGCTGAAAACAGCTTGGGTTGCATTCATACTTCCTCTTTAACAATCTCAGTGGATAGAAGGGAGTTTTCTGTGAGGTCCTTGAGCTTCCCTCCATGCAAGTAAACACAAAGCAAGCAGGGTCAAGGCTGAGGTCTGTGTTCTGTGTCTCAGGACCTCACACACACTTCTGGAGCCTCCCAATGGGCCTCCTGGAAGCCACTGGCACATGGTTTCCACCTAGTTTCTATTACTGCAGCCAGAAAAGAGCGAGCAGGTACAAGTTAGGACAAAAACTTGGCTTTGCATGCCTCTGCAAACTGACAAGCTACTCAGGGTCTGCCAAAACTTGATCTGAATATATCTGTGTGTTAGCCACCCATTAGCTGGGCTTTCCTAAGTTAGTTAATTGCTCTCTGACCAGGGGAACTCTGTTGAAAACAAGAAGGAGATGTCCCACTGGAAAGAAAATTATTTGAAACACCAGGCAAAACTGTCAGCATTTCAAGGTGAGGGGGTTAAACTGTGTACATTTTTAGGGAGAATAAAATGCCTTTATATGATGGATTCCAAGGCATCCAAAAGGCACAGTGCTGGCTCTCTGTCTCCCAAAGCAGAGTAATGAATAGCAGTGACAGTGTGATAATTAAAATGACCTCTTGGAGATATGGATTAGAAGGTATGCTGAGGGGGGATAAGTTCTCCTTTGAATTAATCTAGTGCTAATTTATGACTATCGTTGGGTTTTATAGGGTTTTAGTTGGAGACTTTCAAAGTTGGTTTATTGGGGTGAAAACGTTCCTTCTGCATATTCATTGGAAAAATGCAGTATTCCTCGTTATTTATTTTTGAATGTTTCTATATACACATATATATATATAATGAGAGAGTTTCAGTATTTGCTTAGCTGCTAAAAAGTCTACTCTAGAAATATGAATAAAGTGATAAAAGCAGCTGTGGAATGAGTGTATTGTTTCATTTTCATTCCTTCCTCCTCAGAGGCTTCCAGATCACTTCAAAACCAAGACATGGACAGGCGGATTCTGGGAAGCTCTTGCGCTGCCCTGCTATCGGCTGTCAGACGCTCCTTCTACCTGACTTGTAAAATTCGGGCTTTTAAGTTTAGATTTAATAACCGGATCTTCCTGGAAGTCACTGTCTCTGCTTCTTACTTGTCTTCTGCCACCTTTATCTGCCCCACAGCCTGAAATTTATAGGTGATGATGCTTCCTTTCTGCAGAGATATCCCAGGCTTTCAGTTGGACAGAAAGAACAGATTGGAGATGGTTACCCATATGGGAAATGATGACATCCCATTTGTCAACTCACATGCTGGTAACCTTCCTTCCATGCTCTCCACCTGCCTAGCAATGCCATAACATCCAACGCAGGGTTATCTGCCAAAGCATCTGCCTTGCTCTTCAGTCGGGCAGCACGCCCATTCTGGAACCCATCTTCCCCATCCTTGTTCCAGCACATCATGTTCAAACCCTTTGCTCTTGCCTCCCATTTCATTCCTCTTTCAGTTTGTCTCCAGCACCTTCTGGTCCAGCCCCTACCCAATTTTTCCACACTGAGATCCCAATCACATCTTTCCTGAGCCCCATAGGCAGAGCTGACACTATAGTGATTTCTTCAGAGACCTGCCTCTGCTTTCAGGGTTCACTAGTAAACCGTGTTTCTTGAAAGCTCTCCCTGACCAGCTGGAGATGGGAGCCTGAGCCTTTCACTGTAGGGTCTTTGCCTCATGAGAGTTTACACTTTGGCATGTGTGCATGGCAGAGTGTGCATGATGTGCACATCCCATTTTTTGGGGGGAGACTAGCATGGGAGCTGAAAATAGAAGACCTCCTGTTCCCAGTCTCTAGTTCACTTTCCTCCCACGTGAGTGCTGACGTTCTCTTCCTCTACCTGAGCAGGCAGATGCTGCTTCAGAGCCTACTTCTGGCCTGCCACGAGCCTCTTTTTCCTGAGAGATGATCTGTGTCTCAGCCATAAGTAATGCATGTTGTACACCCAACAGTAATTCTTTGCTAGTTGCTTGTGTCAGGTCCAAGGTAAGGTAACACCAGGGATTCTGAAAGGTTCAGAGACAAATATGGTTCTAAAACTAGACATTTAATTGGACAGAGCAAAGGCACATGTTTATCTGAGTGCAAGTGGAGGGCTTTTCTTTTGGGGAGACCAGTGCCCCATTGCAATGCCCTCCCTCCCAGTTCCCACTCTCTTCTTGGGGAGCTGCAGGGCCCTCCCTTGGAGCAATAGCAATGTATTTGCCTCCCTTTGTACAGGACTGGGTCATGAATATTAAAATGCTGAAATTAACTTGTTTTCTATGCATTCTGCTCTCCTGACAAGAAAATCCCACTACAAACCCCTGCACAGGCAGCCTAACTGCGCTGAATTGGACCCTCACTGTGAGGGGATTATAGATTCTGATTGGGGCTGAGTTTGCAATTATTTTCTGTGCCACACCAAAGACCTTTACTGCAGAGCTGCAAACCAGTTATAGGAACATGAAATGCTTTGACTTCTTCACTAGGGAAACATTAATCCAATCACAGGTTATGTCCATTACAGACTATGGCAATATTGTATACAGGAATTCCCAGGAGAAGGTTCTACAAAAATTGGAATCTCTCTATAACCATGTTATGAGATTTACTGGTGTGGATAAAATGGGCAGAGTTAAAATTACCAGGCTGGCTATCTCTAAAAGACAGGTGAAGTCTGCTGGCTATCATTGCTTCGCAATATTACAAATGGAAAAGCCCTGAAGTAATTGAATAACACATCTGCTGAAAAAACCTTGTGAACTGCTATAACCTAAAGATAGACTGCGAGGAAACAATGTAGGTACAGCACCCAGTTAAAAGGAAAAAGATGCCGTCCTTACCTGGTGCAGGAAGATATCGCAAATGCAGGTACAGATTCTCTCCTTGCCTCCTAGATTATGTGTCTGTATCTGTGTGTCCTCTATATATTGATGTGTGTGTGTTTGTGTCTATCTAGCTCTTTCTTTTCACATAAAAATAAGTTAAACCAGGTTCCTCAGCAGCCAGAGGTGCTGGATGGTAACGCAGGGCTCACTGCATTTCCTTTTCTACTGGAGGTTGCTGAAAACATTTCCCATAGCTGGCAAAGGATATGATTTCTGTCCCCTTAAAGTCTCTCTGTCCTTGTGCAGAAAAAAGATTTCAAAGCACTGTGCAAGAGTTGATGAGGGTTTTCTCTGTGCTTCAGTATCTGTATTCAGTGGTCTATAGCCACAGTTTAATAGCAGAGAGCAATTCCCTGGGTCACTGCAAGTCCAGGACTACAAGAAGATGTGCACTGATGGAGTTGCTGTAGCCAAGGCAGAGTATCTGTGTAAGGCACTGTACCCTGCACACCCCATTCAGAGGGGAGGATGGCCACAGCCTGCCCACTGCCTCCGTATCACCTGCAGGAGCAACCAGGTCATCTCCAGCCATGAGGGGCCAGAATTCCTGGATCCACACACTCCAGACCCAGCAAAGCTAACCCACCATCGTCTGATCCCTTCTCTGGAGGTAAGTGTGGTGTGGACTGGGCTTTTGTGGTATGAGAGGGGATTTCAGGACAGCTCAGATGCAATACATCCTCCTATAGTTCTGCCTGGGCACGGAGGAGCACCTCTCATTACTCATGTTCCTCCCCATCTGGT